TTCTCAGAGTTCTCTGTTAGTGTAGAGGAATCCACCTGAATTTTGTATGATGCTCTTGTACCCTGTCACTTTGCTGAATCCTTCTATTAGTCCCTGTAGCTTTCTTGTGGTATCTCTGGGATTTTCTATGTATAGGATCATAACATCTGTGAATAGGGATAGTTTTACTTCTTCCTTACCAATTTGGATGCCCTTAATTTCCCTTTCTTGCCTTATTGCTCTAGCTACAACTTCCAGTACAATATTTGCAGATTTCTATCAGCTGCTGCTGTACTCTCCTTTACCAGCTGGTACACCCAAGCCCCAGATGCTGTGGGTGGCTGACAATTCTCACCTTGACCTTGGCTGGGAGATTAGAACCTCCTACCCATCTCTAAGGGGCCAATGACTGTCTGATTGAGGATATACAAACCTGGCCCCCTTGCTTCATAGCAGGTCAACTCTCGAGCTACCAGAGCTTTTTTTTTTTTTTTTTTTTTTTTTGTGGGGGGGATGGATCTCAGTCCCCTCCCCCTTCCTGATTCAGCTTCCCTTGCTCCTTTATGGATTTTTCCTTAATAAGTAACGTGCACCTGAATCCTTGATCTGCTTCCAGGAACCTGACCTAAGACTGTGCTGCTATATTTGGGTATTTGCAATCATTGCCTACTTTTTAAGTGTCCCAGGCCTTCTTGTGTCTCATGCCTGGCTCGCCACAGCAGCCCCAGCCATGCCCACTCCAATTGCCCGCATACTGCTGCCAGATAAGGGTTCTGAAACAGACGTGACTGTGCCATTTTTCTCTGACTGTACCAGACATGTCTGGTCTCGCAGTAAAATCTACATTTCCCAGGAAAGCCGAGAAGGCCCTTCCTGCTCAGATCTCTCCCTACCTCCCCTGCCACTGCTCTTGCAACCCATATCCAGTCACCCAAATTATAGACAGTCTTACATGTGCAGTGCCATTCCACATGTCTGACATGCACGTGCTACTCCTCGGCTTGGAACATTCCCCTCTTCTCTCCTACTCCTCCCTTCTGCTGGCCAATTTCTAGTGATCTTTCAAAACTCAGTTCAGATATGTTCTCCTCTAGGAAGTCTTTTCTGAGCTCCCTCATTCCACCTGCCCCATTCTTGCATAACACAGAGCTGGGATAGGTGTCCTTCCTTAGTAGACCCTGAATTAGAAATTAGAATGGTCTGTTGTATCTTGGAGCCCTGGTGGCACAGTGGTCAAGTGCTCAGATGCTAACCAAAAGGTCAGTATTTCGAATCCACCAGCTGCTCCTTGGAAACCCTATGGGGCAGTTCTATTCTGTCCTATAGGGTCGTTATGAGTTGCAATCAACTCGATGGCCATGGGTTTGGTTTTGGTTTGGTATCACGGTAAAAAAAAAACCAAACCTATTGCTGTTGAGTCCATTCCAACTCATAATGACTCCATGTGTTACACAGTAGAACTGCTCCATAGGGTTTTCTTAGCTGTAATCTTTATGGAAAAAGATCACAAGGCCTTTCTTCCACAGTGCTGTTGGGTGGGTTCGAACCACCAACCCTCAGGTTAGTAGTCAAGTGCAAACCGTTTGTGCCACCCAAGGACGTTCCATCATGGTACCATGTCTTAATCATAGCTGCATCCTCAGGATCTAACACCGTGCCTGGCACATGGGCATTCAAGAAAGGTTTGCGGAATGAACGAATACTGAATAAATAACCCACCCAATGATAATCCCCACCAAGGTAGCCTAGGATTTCTGGTGAAAGCTCTTCCAAATACTCACCCTGTGACCTGCTACCAGACATTTTGTATTGAATGCAGTGTAGGATGGTTTGGGTAGTTAAAAGACGGTAAAAAGCCGTCTTTCAGGACGTAGATTCTTGAGAAGGCACAGCTTGCAGCCAGAATGTTAGGAGGAAATATAGCATGCTCATCTTTTGAAAGATTTTTAAAATATCTCACCATTATACACAATAACTCATTTTAAGAAACTGTTTAACTAAAGTTTTCATTCTGATTACAAGTGAAGAGCATTTTGTACAAAAAGCTCAGGAAAAAGCCTCTAGGGAGGTTAAGCAGATTTTGTTTTAAGAACCAAAGACTGATGTCTGCATTGTAAGCCATGTTATTTTCACCAACTTGAGAAACTTTTAACTCATAAGACTGGCTTATCATCCAAACAAAAAGGAATTTTTGGTGGGAGGAGTGGGGGAAGAATTTTTGAACTAGGCAGTTAGTTCGAGTTGGTAAAAATTGCTGTATTTGCTCATTTAAAGGAGATAGCTACGTTTGGCCTCAAAATGCACAGAATGAGTGGGCCTGCCAGGCGGGCTTCTCCTTTGTTGGGCTCTCGGGGCCGCTGTACATGCCCACCTAATACTGAGAGTAGAAGAAGACAGGAGGGGTCGGGGAGGGGCAGGGGTGGTTTATTGATGGAGGAAGCCGTGGGCTAGTGTCCTGGCAGAATGTTTGGGGTAAAGTAGAGAATGGAATAGCAAGGAGCCAAGAATATACAAGTCATTAAAACAGTAAAACTCTGCCAATAACCAGTGCTGGCGACAATGTAGGAGAAACGGGTTCTCATGCACTGCAGCCGAGTGTGTAAATAGGTGCAACCATCTCAGAAAACAGTCTGGCATCACATTGTAACCTGTGCTATGATTGCAATTCCACCCCCAGGTATACGCTCTGGGGAAACTGGAACATGTGCCCAGGAGACATGTACAAAGATGTACACAGCAGTACTTGTCATAACGAAAGACAAAAAAAGTAGAAACAACTCATAGGTCCATAAACAGATGGACAGAAAAATTGTCATAAATTCATAAAGGACACTGGAGCAGTGAACTGGTGCATTCACATGGCCAAGCCACAAAAACAGGATGTTGGATAAAAGAAAGCAAGTTACGAATTACCTACAGGATGATTCCCTTTACAGAAAGATCAAAGACTGGCAAAGCTGAACAATGTTCTATTTTGGGGTGCATACATATGTGTTAAAACTATTAGAGTAAATCAAGGAAATGATTATCACAAAATTCAGAATAGTGGCTTCAAAATTATTCGTAATGTTTTATGTCTTAAGATAAGTATTCATTGTATTATTATTATTATTCTTTAAATGGTATATATTATTATCATATAGTCTTTTGTGTGTATTATTTATTGTACAATTTTTACAGAGCCGTTTGAAGAGAAGTCAACAGAGCTGACGAGTCCAGAGCTCACGGGGGAGGTGTGGTAAGGAGGAGGATTACACATCAGCTGAGCCAAGGCAATGGTTCCACATCTAAATTTTTTAGTTCCACTCAGGGACAGCCCAAAACCAAAACCAAACCCACTGCCGTCAAGTCGATCCCGACTCATGGGGACCCCATGTGTTACAGAATAGAACTGCTCCATCGGGTTTTCTCAGCTATAATCTTTGTGGAAGCAGATCGCCAGGCCTTTCTTCTGTGGCACTGCTAGGTGGGTTCGAACTACCTACCTTTAGTTTAGTAGTCGAGTGCAAGCCATTTGCGCCACCCAGGGACCTTCTCAAGCACTGCAGGCAGTGTTAGGAAGAAGAAGGACCTAAAGCTCATACACATAAGTCCATGAACCTGCCACCATCAGCAAAAGGATTCACTTGCCCCTCTTTCTATCTACCTGGTCACTAGCGACTTGGACCCTCTGCTCAGTGCTGCCTATGTGCTCACTGGACCTTGTGTTCACCCACATAAGCATGCTGAAGCCCAAGAGGCATCTAGTATATGCCAGCTACTGGATGAATAAAAATCCTTTAGCAGCTCTTCGTCCCCTACAAGGTGTAGTTCATGCTCTCCTGCCACATACTATTCCCCTGCCTGGAATGCCATCTTCACATCAACACCCGATGGTGTCCACTTAGCATAACCCAGATGTCACCTCCTGTGTGACTGAAGACTTTGCCAAACTCTCCAACCAGAGTTAAGCGCTTCCTTGCTCCCTCTTCTGGACTTACACAGGACCCTATGTTTGCCTTTATTATATTACTTCGCAATTAGACTTGGAAACCTTCAGAATCAGAGCCTTTGTCTATTTATCCTTGTACCAGGGGTTGACATTCAAAAGATCCATCAATAGGAACTTCAGAGGCAGCAACTAATTAGAATGGACACAGGGCTAGACCCAGGTCCTACAGGTGTTCCTTCCCTCTCCCCCACTACTGATAATTATTCAGTGTCAACTCCTTAGTCAAGGAATCACTGGGAGGTGGGGGGAAGTAGTGCAGTATTTCAGTGTTAAATTGCCATGGCCATACTTATACGTCGAGGTCTGCCAGCACAATACCCATCTTTTTTATATCCCTGGGAGCACTCTGCCTGGTAGCAGGTATTTAATAAACATCTCATGAAAGAACAACACATAACTGATATTACAACTGGAATCATTAACCATTTTCCCAGCCAGAGGGAGGGGGGAATCTAAGATTTAGACAGTGAATTTCTGTGGCCTTTGCCTTCCCTGCATCCATTTCCCCCTTCATCTAAAAACAGAGGTTGGTCACTGGATAGACATGTGGTCCAAGTTGGTCCAATAAGACTCAATCCTGGGACTTCTGCTTGAACCCCCCCGTCCCCACTGCAGCCCCTCTAGTCCTTCCAATCACTCCCACTGCCAGCTAGTTTCAGGAGCTTCTGGCAGCCATCTTGCCCCCATAAGGACCATCTTGTCCCATCTTGCCTCTTGAGAAGGAAGCCTGCACAGGGCAGCAGAGCCAAGACATGGAGCAAGTCCAGTTCCTGCAATCTGATTTAACCCCTAGATCTAGCTGTACCTGAAGATCTACCCTGCAGCTTTCTGTGAAATGACCCAAAAAATTCCCTTTCTTGTTTATGAGATTTTGTTTTGTTTTTGCCTTTTGCAACTACAAATCCAGTCTAATTCAGCTGGAAGGATAATCTTCCACTAGGAAAAACACACGTCTAAGTTTTTATATACGTGAGTGTCTCTTAGCTTTTCATAGCCTATGATATTTTGGTAGTTCATTTTGGTAACTCACCTTTGCCCCAGGAGAACATCTGATAGACTTATAAATGAGGGAAAATCCAGGGTATTCATAACAGGGTAGGCATGGATGGGAATGAGCAAGGTGTCATCCCCCTAAAATTAACGAGGAAAAAAAAGTCAAGTCAATCATACTGAAGATTAATCGTTTTAAAGATATACTTGTAGATGCTTTACTTCTGTCGTATTTTCTATCATTAAAAAATATTTCCTTAGAGGTGGGGCCAAGATGATGGAGTAGCCAGATGCTTCTGAAAAAACAAGTGAAACGATTATATATGACAGTCTAGGAGCCCTGAACATGAAAGGCAAAGTTGAGGAATCAGACTGAGTGGCAGGGGGGGGGAGAGACAGTTTGGAAGCAGCAAGGAGTTGCCAGACCTGACCCGGGGAGAGCCTAAGCCCTTCAGCCCGGATCAGCTCATGGTGCACAGTGAGGCAGGCAAGCAGCAACCCTCGGGAGGTGTTTTCCACACCAGGAGAGACCCAGCAGCAAGGGTCTACTCAGCCATCCAGAACCAGTGAGAAGCACCGCTCGACTGGCAAAAGGTAAGTATTTGCATCTGGCCTACAGCACGGATCAAAAACACCCCCTTAGGGAAAAGCCTGTCTCCCATTTACCACCCTGCTCCCTGCTCTGCACTGGGTTCAGGATGGGTTCAGTGATTGCCAAGTCCCCTGGGCTGGAGTAGGACTCGTCACGTGCCCTGAGCCATTCTCCCAGCCTTGGAGAGGGAACAAATTAACAAACTGGGGAATAAATAATCTGCCGGCTCCCCTAAGCCAGGAACCCAGGGTAGGCACAGCTCCTTTGCCTAGGCACAGGAATAAGGGGTCCATGGAATCTGAGTGCCTTCACACCTGTACAGACCGGTGTGGGCCCATTTCATCAGCACAGACCCTCATTATCGCTGTACAACAGGGTATATACCTGAGGTCTAACTTCAACTGTTTCAGTTGTGAGCTGGCAGATTCGTGACATTTGACACTGCTCTGCCCACATCAGGGGCCTGAGGACTGGTGGCTCCACCCATGCCACCTAGACATCTGCAATAGGGGCCCAAGAATAAGAGGTGCCCCCTCAGTCCCTACAACCAACAGCACTGGGTGCTCACAGTCCGGCTGCAAAACCCACCCACCTACACACTCTAGGGAACAGGGACACACTTTCCTCTTGGACACTCGGGGGGCAGCCGTCAGCCCCCTGCCTTGCTCAGTGTGTATCCCCCTGCTGCAGCTGGATGCCTGTGACTACACCAATCACCCATGCCTGTCTAGGTGAGAGCCTGCACCACACACTTGGTGGCTGACAACCTGGACACCTGAGCTGAATCCATACAGGGGGCGTGGGCAGACTCCTGGGCTCACATACATAGTGGCAGGTCTGGCCACCTGGTGGCAGGACGTTGCAGCTTCAGAGGCACCAATGACTGGGCTAGCTAAAACAATCCTATTTGGGCACATCAAAACAAAACAAGAAGCTAGGACACAGTAAGCAATCTTAAAATAAATAAATATAATAACTTATTGATGGCTCGGAGATGACAATCAATATTAAATCACATAAACAGGCAGACCATGATGGCTTCAGCAAGCTCCCAAAATAAAGAATCTAAAAATTTTTCAGAGGAGGAAAATTTCTTGGAATTTCTGGAGACAGAATACAAAAGATTAATATATGGAACTCTTCAAGAGATCAGGAAGGAAAATATGCAAAATGTAGAACACAGAATAGAGGAACTTAAAAAGATTAGAGAAGAGCATAATGACAAATTTAACAGGCTGCAAGAATTCATAGAGAGACAGCAATCAGAAATCCAGAAAATTAACAATAAAATTTCAGAATTAGACAACTTAATAGAAAGTCGTAGGAGCAGAACTGAGGCAATGGAAGTCAGAATTAGTGAGACTGAAGATAAACCACTTGACACCAACTTATCTGAGGAAAAATCAGATGAAGAATTTAAAACAATGAAGAAACTCTAAGAAATATGTGGGACTCTATCAAGAGAAATAACCTACGAGTGATTGGAATACCAGAACAGGGGAGGACAACAGAAAATACAGAGACAATTGTTGGCAGAAAACTTCCCTGATATTGTGAAAGACGAGAAGATATCTATTCAAGATGCTCACTGAACCCCACATAAGGTAGATCCCAAAAGAAAGTCACCAAGACATATTATAATCAAACTTGCCAAAACCAA